GATGTGCCACCCACTTTTCTGGCACTCCCAAAGCCGCCCTGCGGCCATTGTTCAACGGAGATTTCCTTTTTATTACGCGTAAATGAAAGACATTTGTCGTTGACTGGCGCCCAACTCGGTGGGGGGGCAAATGTCGGAGGTGCCTTCTCCTGGAGGAGATTATCCATCCAGGGCACCCAGAGAAACATGCCGTAATTAGATATTGTTAGTTGGTTTAATTCATAAAAGTATTTGCATTTTAAATTCTAAAATACATTGAGGCTCTAATTTTATAAATTTATTGTTTATTTATATATTCCCTAGCAATGGGGTAAATGCAAAAGGTTATAGTATAGGTTAAAAATGTTAAAAAAAAAAGTTTTTTTTATCTAACTTAAACAAAAATGTATTAAAATTAAAAAACAAATTTAGATTAATTTGTTTCCGCTGTGTTAAATAGGTTTAAAGAAAAACACATGACATTGGTCAGATTAGAGCCTTACCATTAGGATAAAAAGTTTTTTTTTAAATCCTATGCTATGCTAACAGCAGCAGACATTTGTTCTCTGTGTGTACTTTGCATAATGTTTCTAAGGTTCATGGTAAGCTGGGCGATAAAAATCGCCTTACGGCTGGCAGGCGACTCTCCGTCCTTCATGGAGCACCAGACATTGTTGACCAACACGCGAATGATTAACAGGCAATCGAGGCAATCGACGCAATAACGCGGCAACCGAGGTCGAGACGCCTGCGACACCCCATGAAACTATTTTAATGGAACGAGCGTGTTTGCCAGGGGCCCGGAAATGAATAGCACATTTTTGATTTAATTGTTTTTGTGCTATTCGTGGCAGGGGGACGCACACCCCATCATCCATTTCCATTGATTTAAAAAGTTTTACTTGTTCATTCCGATGATTGTTTGTTGCTTTGTTTGTTTGTCTAGTTGTTTATTTGTTGGCCCAGGAGATGGGTATGCGAAACAAAGGAAATGCAACTTCATGGTGAAAGTAAGGGTTATGTTTTATGTTCACTCCAAGGGCTGAGTGTGGCTCCTTCCTAGCTGCCGATGCTGATTCAGGCCCAATTAGTTATAAAAACCCCAACAGAGCGCCCCGGAAACATGATGCCGCAACATGTTGCCACTTGGGGCGTTACCAAGTGAAGAGTTTTTAATGACCGAGATCACAGAAACGGATGCCGGCTGCACGGCAAAAGAGCAAAGTTTACGATGAAAGTTGAATGCACAGAAGTGGAACACCCACCTGGGCAGCAGCACTTAAGTAGTGGCAAGTAGGCTTTCCCTTTTCCCTGGTGTCCACTGTACATGCTGCTGGGCACTTACACCGCCGTTTTCCTTTTGCCATCGTTACTTACTTGTCGACACTTGGCAAGTCTCGAGGCAATGTACCCACTATGCACCCACTCCATCCTGCTTCTCCGACCTGCGTTAAAGCCAGCATTTGGCACCTTCAGAAGACTTACCGGGAACAGGAACAATGGCAGCCACGGGTCGGTGGATGGGGACTAGGCCAGGTCACAGAGACTGCCTGCCAACATATCCGCCGCAATGTGAAATGGAAAGCCGTTTGCGACATCAAAGCCCATCTGAAATGGCTTAGAGCTCATAAATTACCAGTCAAATGGCGGAGCATTTAAATTCAACACGTGCTTCCTCCATTGCCTGCTTATCCACCTGCTATATGGCCATTATTTTGTGCGACTGCCTCCGGTTTCCGTTTCCGCCATGCGAGAAATTCAAAATTGCCTAAGGCCGTCTCCAGAATCGATGCAGAATTGGGGAACGGCAATTAGCGATTCACAACTGCCGAGGACACCGAGTGGATCAATCGATGTGGGTGCGCTTGGATGGATGGGTAGTAGTAGTCCTCACACAGTCGACTGAAGCAAAAGATGCTTGACGATTTAAAAGAGAACTGGCAAAATGTCCACGGCGCAACAGTGCGTATGAGCAATTCCCAAATAGTTTCAGTCTTAAAACACGTGCCATTACCATCAAAGCAGAACCTCCAACCCAAACCTCATTTTTTCCAAAAAGTTCCAATGGCCGACGACAGATGTTTGTATCCCACACTAAGATTGATTTCCAATCGCATTACGAGTACTTAAAGCTGCACCCGAGTGTCTCGGTTTCGACCATCAATGCAAATTACTGTCCAACGGGGTATTCTATAATTGGCATTCCTTTCGATCGATTGCCCACTCCACACCACCTGGCATCACTCATTCCCGGAATCTGATTGCATTGGCATTGGTCCGCTGGTGAAGCGACTGCTCCTTGGAAGCTCCGGCACCAATGAGCAAAGGACGAGCAGCAGGTGGACTTGCTACTGGGACAACATAAGCCCTGCACTTTGCAAATTTCCCATTATCGAGTCAAGAAAATATAAATAAAATATTTAATTTTTTCAATAACTATCTTAAAGAGTCTCACTGAATGAAAATTAAGGGCTACCATTTTTATGAGGGTAAGGTTTTTGAGTCAACTAATTAAAAGGCTTTAAGAATCTTAAAATATAAACAAAATAATATAAAATAAAATAATAAAATATAAATAAAATGGCAATCACCCAAAACGCAATAAGTTATACCATTGTTTGTTATAAAGTGCACTTTATTTAATCAAAAAAGGGGATTCATTTGAGAAGTGCTCACCAAGGTAAAGCGTATTTCTCAATTCAAGTTCAACTTTTTTTCTGAGTGTGTGGCATTGCCTTCAGATCCGATAAAGTGGATTGCAAGCCCATCAACACAAACGGTGATTAATGCGTACTGGCTGACTGTAAATACTTTAAACGTTCTGAAATGAGCCGTCGAGTGCAACGAATCAACAAGGACTCAACAGATGACTGTTGATTTATCGAGTGGGTATTAAATTAATGCAGCTATTTCTGCCATAAGGAATCCCCCATTCTGCTCAGGTAATCAAAATGTTACGGCTCCAGAGCAATTAAAGTCGCAACATGACTGAAAATAGACGGTTGCTGCATTACATTGGTATTCATGAATATCATTTAAATATGCGCCGCACTTCTGGCCCCGTTTTTTTTTTTGGCACATCATTTCCTGTGCTCACTTTTGCCACCGCGATGCCAACTTTTTCTGGTATGCAAATGAATGACATGGCGATGACACGGCAAGTTTAGTGACTGCCGCAGACGAAACAACTACTGTCATCATAAGTATAATGTACATAGTGAGTATCCTCATCCGTGTATCCTTGTCATTCCCATGATTATAGTCATTTCGTCTTCAAATATCTGCGACGGTTGCTCACTTTTGCAGCCATTAACATGCCAGGCACAAGGAAGGAATGAAGTTGACTAGAATATCCGAACTATACATGCCCTGTTGGAAATTAGTTCAAGATACGTTTCAAACTTGTTATTATATATCTGTATATTTCATTTAAATGGCTATGCTTTTAAGCCAAAAGAATTCCAATAAAATCGTATTACACAGCTAGATAGCATATTTTAATGCTATGGATTTTATTTAGCTTTGAACTTGGGTAATCTAACACGATTTCATAGCATTAAGCCATAGCATCTTGACATAAATAAGTTTTTATTTATATATTGTATGGTTATGTAAAATAAAACCTATTTATCGTAAATAAAAATCAAGAACATTTAAATAAAATCAGATTACAATGGATAGATGGCATAATCGTAGAAAGCTTTCTTGATTTGTTATTAATCTTTGCTTTAAACTTGAGCAATTGCATTTAATCACTTCAATCCATAGTACCTAAAATTAGGCTCCTTTAATATAGTAAATATATATCAAATATCTTCGGCTTTGATTGGGTATAACTAACCTGAACGATACCCTGCACTTGATGTATTTTATCAATAGTCTGAAATACCCCACCCTTCCCTGGATATTTACCATAAAGAGGCGGAAATAATAAAATGCAAAAATATTATTTTTTAATTAAGTCGTAATAGCAATGTCTGTTTGGCAGGACGAGGCTAATCGAGGGGGGCCTACGTCTCCGCCCCCGTCTCCGCCTCCGCCCCCACCCCGCCCACTTGCCAAATGCTGGGTGAATGCTAATGACCTTTTCAAAAACCGGGGGATATGGAAATGCCGCTTTTGGAATGGATAGATACGGGATACGGGAATAGGGGGATACGGGAGGCCAGGAAGACAGGCAGGACGTGCTCACAGTTTTCGACAACGCGAACGCAGTTTGCATATTTTCACATCATTTTGCATTTCCTCAAGGACAAACTGGTGCTGCGAGTGGGCGTGGGCGTGGGCGGAAGGACAACCGGCAAATTGCAGGACCATTACACCAGCAAACCGAGAGGAACGACCATCTGCCACAGCAACTACATATTACCCAAAGTGGGCCGTCATCTAAACAGTAATTACTTGTATCGAAGCCGCTTGGCCTGACCGCAAATTTGAGGTCGTTTCCCTTTTGCGGATATTCGTCACTCATTTAATCAATCAATTAATCAAAAGTTATCGGTGGAAAGGCGATTGAAAAGATAAGGGAAACACTTAAGGGGCTTATTGAAGGGAATTAAATTAAATTTTCACGCTAATGAGCATCGCATCTGAGTGGTGAGGGGGGTTGAGGCCTGGGGGGGGGGATTGAGGGATGGGTGTGCGGTTAGGGCTAAACTGTTCCCTAATCCTGCGTAAGTGTGTGTGTGTTCTTTTCGGGGGTAATTTCGTAATTTGTTCTGGCAGCCAGAAACTAATTTCGTCGGTGGTTTTTGGATTTGCGGCAAGAGTTCGCAAGTTCCGCGTTTTGGCACACAGACTTTTCATCATCATCCAGCTTATTCATAAATCATGGCCGGACTCGACGACCCGCTCCCGTATCTTTCCACCTCATTTGGCCAGGCTCAGGAATTAATCAATGTTGAAAGGAGCTCTCGACACGGGATGTCCTTCACATGATTACAGAGGCTGGAGGTCTGCGAGCATCAATAGTAGATTAGATGGAAAAGGTAGATATGTCCCGAGTAAATAATAAATACAACTTTAACAAAGGAAGACTTTGGGTTGCCTTTTTGATTTATGTTCAATTTTCTTGATGGACACAAATGTCAAAATAAACATTGACAGCAGGAAACTGCAATTCTGGATCATATATTATTTGGATAATTTAGTTGTACCTTAAGACCTGAAATGTTTCTCTAATTTCTTGATTTATCAATGAATTGGTTTTGTAGTGGGCTTTTATGGGCCGTCATAGATCTTCCTTTTTGTAAATTGAATAAATGAAGATTCCTAAAAGATATCTGGAGTGGGTTCGCTGGACCGAAAGGAGCGCAAACCGGCTGGCATCTTCTGTCGCTGATCCTGTCCAGGACGACGCGATCGCTGCTCCCTGCGGACACTCCAGTGCAGGCTGTACAGCTCCTCATCCTCCGACTGGTTGTCGTCCTCCAGGACGGAGGCCATCCTCGAGGTCGTCGGCCTCTCGCTGTCCCGATCCCCTTGCAGCTTCTTCTGGGCCAGCTTGGTCTTGGATATGGAGTCGCCGGGAAGGGCCTGCAGTGCCGGCGGTGTCTCGGAAAGGACCTCCAGGGAACTAGCCGAAGTGCTCTGGTCCAGCACCCGATTCTTAACCATGCTCCGTTGCATTTGTGAAATGGACAGACGTGGCATGGTGAACTCGAGAGGCTTCAGCTGTCCCTCCAAGCGCCTCCTCACCATTCCGATGATGCTCGGTCCCGAGCGACGTTCCTCCGGGTTCCCAGCACCGGACTCACGCCTGGCCAGGGACTTCAGCTTGAATCCTGCCAAGAGTTTCGCGTACTTATCAGTTTCTTCCTCGGGTTTTGAATCGGGCTCTGCGTCCCTTTCGGGGGCACTGATATTGGCGTCCAAGAAGGCGAAGCGGTCAACGAAGAAGGGCTTCTTCGGCTCACTTCCCACTCCGGGGGTCATGTCGTACTCGATCCTCTGCAGCTTGTACACATTGAGGTGGTAGCGCATGCTGCGCACCCGGCAGCGTACGAATTCGGCACTCAGGTGGCTGCCCATCTGGGCGGCGATCTTCTCCCAGGCGCTGCGCTTCAGCTCCGCATCCCCGTGCTCCGGCAGCGAGGTGTTCCACAGGCAGGGCTGCTCCTTGTACAGGTCCACCAGTCGCAGGTTGAACTCCTCCTCCTGGCTGGAGGGCAGTGAGGGGGCGGCGGTGCGCATGGCCAATAAGCGGCGCTGCCGTTCGAGACGTCGTGCCTCCATCATTTTGCAGCTGCCTGTTTGTCTTTCTACGGAACGAAGTGGGACGAAGTGAATCCCAGGGCCTCCTGCCCGGGCTGTTTCTATGGGGAAATTATCGAAACCATCTCATAATATTAACTTTGAAAGTCTGTCAGCTGCCACTGTTATTACGAGTGCTTGAAAAGTGCAAATTGGCTGTGGCAGGAACATGGGAGCATGGGAACATGGATGGGAACATGGGCCGCAGGCAAAGTGCAAGAGGTTGGAATGGCATCACTCACATGCTTCAATGCCTCCGCATAATTTGTGCAGCAAAACTAAAGACTCAAAAGACATCAGAATGTGGTAACTGCATAGTTGCCTTGCCCCAGCAGCAGGGGCCAAAAGGAAGTGCGTCTCATGAAAGTTGCAACAAAGGACATGCGTGCCATCCTCGCGGGGGAGTAACGAAAGGACTTGGCACTTGAGTGACAACGAGGCTTCGAAGAAAGCTTGCCAGCGCTGCCAAATAGTCCCTTTTCTGGTACAGATTTCCAGTTGTTTCTTTTCACTTTTCCTACTTTCCCACTTAGCGACATTTTCTTTTGTAAAACTCATCTCCTGGCAATTACGAAACACTGTAAAAAAAATAAGAGCCAATTCGGCTCTTTTATTAATTAATTCTTATTCTTTTACATAAATTAAAATATTTATAATTTTCATTTCCCTTTAATGTTTAATCATAACCAATTTTCAGCATGTAATCTAGTAAAGAATGATTACTTGGCCTCCAAACTTGGAATAGAATTTAATCCAACTTTTCCTAACTTAACTTGAAGTTAAACTCTAACAGGATGTTACGAAAACATGTGTTTTCCCAGCTTAACGCCAAAACTTAACATAAAATTGAGACATCAGTGGGGTAATTAATACAGAATAACACACTCATTGAAGTGTGTGTAATTTTTCCCGCTGGTTACACAGAAACATGCAACACTAGTGAAACTTAATACCTGCCCCAGTCAAATACGTCGACGATTGGCCTTCCTTCGCCCATCGACGTGGGCAGGATCCGTGTCCGGTAAATACCCGATGTCTCCTGGGTGTGAGCCCGGCATTTAATTAATTCCGGGACGCACTGGCTCTTCGACACCCACGGAATGCCAGAGATTGCGGCATTACGATACGCGCCATGTCGTTCGTCAAATGCAAATGCTATGTTCTTTATGGCAAATTTAAATAAGCAAATTGCGTATGTGTGTTTGCCAGTTAAACGCAGAAAAGCCACGGGGAGAACGAACTTATTTAGGGGAATTTCGAAATTTGCAATTGTGCCGCCTAACGAACGTGAGTAATTAGGCCTAATTGGCGTTGGGCCGCGCACGTTTGCATAATTCAACAATGAATATTGGGCAAACAACGCAGTCCGGAAATGGAAGTCAATGAGGCGGGGATTTGATTTGATCGCTTCGCAGAAGGACTCCACTAATTGCACACAGCTGGAAGAAAGTTTGTCGCTTAGCTCACAGAAAAAGTACACCCAGAAAAAGCAGGGCACTTTATCTATACTAGTACTTAAAAAATAATGAAAAAATTGTATAAAAACTAGTTTCCTCTGTTAAGGCGATAAATTATGTAAGCAGAAGTATTTTCCACCAGTGATGGCAAACAGTTGATTGCATTTTTATTAGAAATATACAAAAAGCATCTGTACAAATGTTTAAGGTTAGAAATGAGGCAATGTTTTAAAATCTAAACTTTCTTCGATATTTTTTTTTATTTTTTGTCACTATTGTTTTGAAATCCCCAAAGGGTAACTAAAAGAATGCAGTGAAAAATTGCCTCATCTTTTGAATTGAATGCAATGAAATTCTTTTTTTTTTTTTTTTTTACTGCAATCTGTTCAGTGCCTTCTGAACTTAACCTAGCGTAATTAACGAGAAAGAGTTTTATGGATACATAGTAAACCTTAAATAACGAACTTCTATACTCAAAATATATTGTTGCATTCTTTTAGACATCTTCATAGTTCAGTGGCACTTCCCACGATGTTTTCTGATTATCCGAGTGTATTTGGTCAGTATGAACGTTGGCCTTAATCCCGGAATGAATGCTAGTTTCGACCCAGAAGTTGGGTAATTTGGCAAAGACAGCCTTTGCTGTCGAACTGCGAACATGAGTGATTACTGCAGCTTCCTTTGATGCATGACCTTGACAACTGAATTGGCCACTTGTGGCCGGGCACCACCCACTGTAATTTCTGATGGAATCAGTTAGAGAAACCTGGGAACTCTATTTCTAGATTAGAAAACTCATTGGCCAGAAGAAACCGGACATTGTGCGGCCAATTAGTTACATCAGTTTTAGTTTTTCCATTCAATTCTCATCTGCACATGCGATTTCAATGCAATTTTTGTATTTTGCGCTTGCGACTTCGATAAGCGGATTAAAAGAGCATTTCTTTTGAAGCATTTAATTGCCAAAAACATTTAGACTAATCGTTTGCACAATTTCCGATGGACCAATTCACTTTGTTGACATGGATGATTATGAGCGACCAATTTCCTAATTTATTGGAGCAAATATTATCAGTATACAAATATCTAACAGAGCAAATGGAGCAGTCAGTATTTGCCTTAAAATTTAAAAGGACATTAAGTGCAGAAGGACAATAAGAAAATCGTTTAACATATGATTTTAGAATCGCAATAGAAAAATATTCTCTGACCAAGATAAAAGACATGAAAAGATTAGTTGACAACAGTAAACTAATGGATAAAACTATTAAAGTTCATTGAAAGCCAAAAACTATGCTCCTGTTCATTAGTCTAGTTATTCAACGCAATTAAGTAGCATTTTATTAAGAAATTCATGCTTAGCCTTGACTTTTTTATTAACCGCTGGATAACTTTTACTTCTCTATTTTTGTTTTGTCGACTTTTCAGCTACAACTTTGGCTAATAATTTGACCGCCAGGTTGTGCCCATACTGTCAAGCCCTCGGCTGCCCTTTTTCGTCCTGGAATGCCGAATAGACAAACGAAAATTTAATAAAGTCAGGCCGAAGCAAGTGCCCACCCAGGCCGGTAATTGAGTTTTGATGGTCGAATGTCAGGCGCCTCGTCCGGCCACATCTGTTGCCCCAGCATGTAAATAAGGTCCTGGCCACAAGTAGCCACACAGATTCCCGGCATCCCGTTTGCCTAACGACCACCATTTGTTTCCATCGGGTCGCAATATTCGAGTCATTGTGAGTGGGGGTCCCTTTTGCCCCACACTCCCGAAACGGAGGTCCAAATGCTGCAACACATATTGCGACTCCAATCAGGAGGGAGGCGGAGGAAGGGGCTCCGATCCTGGTAGCTATCCACTGGGCAACACCGATCTCAGTGTGGAAACACGAAGCACATGTACACATGGCAAAAAAAAGTCCAACTTATACAAGCAAAACGATTTAAAATTTAAATTAAATTCAACAAGAGAAAGAAAGAGAGATGTCAATACATTCATAGATATATATATATAAATGGTAAGTTTTCGGATTTTATTAAAACGGGGTCAACATTTAAAAACAGATCGTCCAACTAATTAAGCATAATTTTTTCAGTGTAGCTCCACCATATATGTATAGCATGCCCGGCGAAAGAGGAGGCTTCTGAATTGTTTACTCCCAGCAAATAGCGTTTAAACTAGATGCACTGCAGCGCACGGGATTTGGCTGCCATTGCGAATGCATTTGGGCCAAAAGCGATTTCCCGAGTCAATTGAGTTGTTTCCATTTTCATTGACAGCCCTTGTGGCCGGAGGACAGCCGCTGTGGAAAGATCTGCAGGGTTTACTGGGCAAAAACCAAATGAATACTGATGCACTTAAAAATATAACCAAGTACAAATTTACCTTGAATGGCGGAAAGGACTGAAAGTCCTGTAACCATGGCTTCTAGATTTATTTCAAGAATGAAACATATGAATAATAACAGAAATATAACCACGATTTTAATATTAAGGCGTCTCTAAAGATGAAGCTATTTTTTCTCAGTGGCCATATAAATATTTGCAGTTGCCAACGAGTTTTTCCGGTCGACATGCGTTGCAATTCGACAAATCATTTGTCGGCGAAAAAGGACGAATATCGGGACATAGCGTATCTTGTATTAACAAGAACACTATTTGCGTGGCACCAGTCAAAGACTTTACTTTCCATAATATTTTGGCTCGAATTCATTACTATTCTAGAAACAACAGGATTTGCGGGAGCATTGTCATTTAATATATTTGGTGGCTCTAGTTTTATATATCAGTATCACTAGAATCAAAAATAAATGGATATTTAGCATATATATAATTCCTTTAAATATATAAAAGCTTCAAGCATTGAATTTGACTGCGAGTTCACCGGCAGGTGTTGTTCTATTCTGGAGGAGAAAAAGGTGGGCGGGGAGGGGGTTGATAAGGGATCCAAATCCAAGACAGGAAATCAAATATACCCACAGCTGGCGCCTTAAAAATGAGATAACAAGTTTGTAATTTCGGCATAATTGTGGCCTTTTTGGGGAGGGCAGCCTGCCCATTTCACTTCTTCGAAATTTTGGGGCTGTTGAATTAATAATATTAAAATCAAAATCGCATATTTTTGTCTGTCGCTGACTGCTGCTCTGCACATAATTGCCAAAAAGTTTGTTTTTCTTTCTTTTATGGGGAGTTGAGGGTGGGGGGGTGTGCGATCCCAAAGCAACAAGCTCACACACACGTGCTCACAGCAAGCCAATTAAACGATTGTCTGGCGCAAACAGCGAATTGAGCCGGCAAGCTGATAACCTTGCCACATTCTTGAACATTTGATATTTCACAAAACACGGACACTAAAGTCCGCAACAGCCTTTCATGCAATTCGCCATTTGCCAATTGAAATTTGATTCATAGCCAAGAATATCCAATAAACGAATTCGAATTGATTTTCATTTTGATTGTGTGACTATGATTGTGATTTGGCCGAAGTTTAAACATAACATTTTATTACGAGTTAGACTGTTGGTGTGGTTTTTCCGTCAATTAAAATTGAATAGCTTTAAGTAATGATTTTGTTTTGCATGAATT